TTGAATCAAACAAGCATAGGATTGGGGAAGCCACAAAACATTGTGTGAGTGACACATTCAATAAGCTAGCAGACGAACGGGAATGTTTGTCACTGTTCTTACGCCTTCAATTGCCAGACATTTTTGCAATCTTGTGGGCGGGTCAACGCCTTTTAAAAATGCATTTTCGATTTTGTGTCATATTTGGCAAAATGGCAACAATACACAGACTAAGTTCTTAAGGATATTTAGGCGTCAGATCAATCAAACACAACAATGTCATCGTTGGAGGTCGAATTTCATTCGTTTGTCCGCTGTGATTGGAGATAATCTTGGGGGCAAAAACACACCTTGCGTGATTCCTGCATAAGCCTATTATGCGTTTTCACAGTGTGTTAGTTCCACGAAAGAGTGGAAACTCATTCTCCGCAGGATTAAAGCTACCCAAAACAAAGCCCTTTTCTAAACTCAGCATTTTATAGGTATCCTTAAATGCTTTTGAAGAACATTAAAGTTAAAAGATCGGGGTTTAAACGAAACCATTCCATCCCGATAAGCTCTGTTAAACCAACATTATTGACTCAGAACGTGTGAAAATCTTGTTGTTGTTTTTACAACATGTGTTTTCTTGGCCTGTTGTGCCAATAACGTTTACTTAATTCAAGTTGGGGATTACAGTTAATGATACGAAAAAGGTGAGGTGAGGTTTAAATGTGGTGTTATGTGGACATCAAGACAAGGATGGCCAGGACAGGCACCATGAACATACACGTAAATGCAGTGTGTGTATATGTGTGTGCGAGAGAGAGAGAGGGAGAGAGAGAGAGATAGAGGGGGGTAGAGAGAGCGAGAGAGAGGGTGCGAGAGAGAGCGAGGGAGAGAGAGAGGAAGAGAGAGCGAGAGAGAGAGAGGGAGAGAGCTAGCGAGAGAGAGAGAGCGAGAGAGAGAGGGAGAGAGAGAGGGAGCGAGAGAGCTAGAGAGAGAGAGGGGGGTAGGGGAGGAGTAAGTAATACACATTATTCTTTTACAAACAGCCATCAATCCCTAACATTATTTAGTTTAGATACCCACGACACTACGTTTGCAACAAACGTGCTTAGAACGACCTGTTCTTTTGAGTTCATTGTATAGATAGTGAGTTTATGGTGTATGTGTGCAAGATAGAGTGCAGTGTGTGTGTGTGTGTTGTTTGTTTTTAAAAAAATAAATTGTTTTGTGTGTGTCTGTGTGTGTGCGCGCGCGCGAGAAATTGAGAGATGCAAGTATTTCTGTGATTTGTTCTCGTGTGAGAGAGAGCGACAGGGTCAGAGAGAGAGATCGCGTTTGTGGTGTGTTTGTGTGCGGTATGTGTGTGTGAGAGAGCCTTTGTGTTTGTGAGAGAGAAAGAGAGAGAGAAAGAGAGAGGGAGGAGAGAGAGAGGAGGGAGAGAAAGGATGTGTGTGTGGCGTGTGTTTGGTTGTGTACGTGTGTGCGAGAGAGTGAGTGGTGTGTTCTTGTGTGTGGGAGAGAGAGAAAATGAATGATGTGTGTTTCTGCGGTGTGTGTTCGGGCGACCTTAAAACACCCTGGTTAGAATTGGTCCCACATACTTCTCGTAAGAAGCGACTAACGGGATCTGTCGGTCCGGCTTGCTGCCCTGGTTGACACATGTCATCGTATCCCAGTTGGGTAGATCGATGATCATGTTGTCAATCACTGGATAGTCTGGGTCAGACTACATTATTCACAGACCGCCGCCAAATGCTTGGAATATTGCTGAGTGCGGCGAGAAACAAAAGACTAAAAAATGACGGCGGGGGACACCAGAAATGGGCTTCACACATTGTACCCATGTGGGGATTCGAACCCGGGTCCTCGGCGTGACGAGCCAACGCTTTAACCACTAGGCTACCCCACCGCCCCTACCAACTGGTATAAGCGTTTGATCGTGAAGTCGCTTTACACAAGGCTGCAATGTGCGAAGTCATATTCAGGAGTACCTTGTCGTGACTTTGCTGGACCAATGCAAGATGTGGCAATATCGTGCTGGCTCTTGTTTAAACAAATTGACAACATCTGCTCAAGCACAGAGCATTGACAGGCAGAGTGTCCGACAACAGGAGTGTTAAGTGAGTGGCCTTTACCATTTCGCTGAAGCTCACAACAACAAACTATCTTATTAATTGAGGATTAAAACCACGACCAGCGGTTCCTGACAGGACCAAGGGACATAACTCTACTGTGCTAAATAGTTCTAAAATCGCTGTTTTATTGTTTGTAAATTAGAGAATCACAAGCGATAAACAACACATCCACACACTCAATAACAACTGTAACAACTGACAAACAGCGATATCTATTTTAGAATAGAGCGTGAAATCCGAGCTTCCTTAATGGTCGTTGTCGAGACGCGGCTTCTTAAAATAACACATTCATTCAAAGAATAATAACTTGTTTTTGTTTGTCGTTTCTGAATTACTACTGTATTCCAAAACAGGATTTGAGTTACATCTACACTTTTGTGTGTAGGTAAAAGTTATGTTTTTCAGAATTAATCTTCACAAATATGTTTATCAAGGTCAACGATACTGTATCAGTTACGGGCTCCAGGATTCTTTATAGGACTATTCTGTTTCCGTATACACTATATCCATTCAGTCAAGGTGAAATGGGAAAGACTGTGTGTAGGGGAAAGTATGTGTATATGTGTGTAGGCGAAAGTGTGTGTGTATGTGTGTAGGGGAAAGTAAGTGTGTGTGTAGGAAAAGTAAGTTATGTGTAGGGAAAAGTAAATGTGTGTGTGGGGGGGAGTAAGTGTGTGTGTAGGGGAAAGGGTGTGTGTGTAGTGGAAAGTAAGTGTGTGGGGGAAAGTAAATGTGTGTATAGTGGAAAGTAAGTGTGTGTAGGGGAAAGTGTGTGTATAGTGGAAAGTAAGTGTGTGTGTAGGGGAAAGGGTGTGTGTGTAGGGTGAAAGGATGGGTTTAGTAGAAAGGGTGTGTGGGGAAGAAAGTACCTGTCTGTAGAAGAAAGGGTGCGTGTAGCGGAAATGCTGTGTATAGGGGAAAGAGAATTTATAGGTTTAAGGGGTCTACGTTGACAGTGGATTTTTGTCATGCGTTAATGTACCGATAATAATTACCGTCTTCTAAAGATTTCGGGATGTCGTCCTACACTGTACAGTGTACACTGATTTTATTTCACCTCACCACGTGATGAAGACTCCCTCCCTCAATGCCTCCTCAAGGACAGCAATACACGTTCAGTATCGATTTGAAGCCGATGTTTTCTGACAAAACGAAGCGTGTTGATAACAAAGACCACTTATCCGATGACACTGTGTACTTGAACTTTTGCATTTGGACATGTACATTTCATACCAGACATTCCAAAGGTCACTTGGTTTTCTTTAACAGTGAATATATCTTTGATCCCGTGCTGTGTTTATATGACATAATGGGACTATATATACCCTGCCCGTGCTCGGGATTAAGGGGAAACAAATCTCGGTTCTGTGGGAGTGTAATATGTCTGAGTGGGGTATCTTTGTTGAACAACGGCTGTATGTTACAGAAGACAAACAATATATAATATCGGCTGTAGACTGGACGCACACACGCATCCACACGTGCATGCACTTCGTTAAATTATCTTGACCACCACGACAATCACCATTCACGCAGGAGCGTAGCTACCATTACAAAAAAAAGCCCGGGTTTACACATGATATTTGCTCACAAGGTTGGACAAGCCCTTGATACTAACTACATGTAAAGCTTTGCAACATATTGGGCTTACATGAGAAAACTGGCTTGCTACGCTTGTCACCTCAAATTATATGACCACAAAGACAAATGAACCACACACACGTGCATGCACGTGATAAAATAATCGTGAATATCACAACCATCTTCAGTGCGACCCGTCATCTGACCACAATTAATAATGAAACACACACACCTGTACGCACTTCGTTAAACCTTCACCACCGCTATAATCCCCATGCACCTCAAGTTATATAACCGCAATAACAAATGCAGCACACACTCGTGCATGACGTTCATGCACGCGCACGTAGCACATGGTTAACGACAATCATCATTCATCCACGTTATATGATCACACTGACAAATACAGAACACACACGTGCATGCACCTTTTTAGATAATATTGACTACCACAATAATCTGAATTCGCCTCACGTTATATAACAAAAATAACAAATAAAGCACACACACGTACATGCACGTCATACACGTGCACGTATCACATCGTTAATTAATCTTGGACAAAATAAGCAAATATACGTTCGTGTAAATGCAGATCAGTCTCTCTTGACGCCATTGTACTTTACAATACAAAAACACGAATGTCATCAAAACCGTTGATTTGGCCACTTTTGTATACCTTTGTACATATACTCGTCGCAGAAAAACAACATGTCTGCAACTGTTACCGTAATGGAAGACTTTGGTCAAAGTCCCAGGGGTGTTTCGACGCTTTATAACACGCTTCTTCACCAAAACATTAATTGTTTGCCTTTGAAACGAACCAGTGAATCTCGAAATTACATTTCCGCTGTCCGAGTTGTTTCAGCGTCAGGTAATCCCCTCAGGGAGTTGAGCGAATCAGCCATGGTGTCGTGATACCAGTTCCGCTAACGATCAATGTTTAGGACTATAAAAACCCGCTACGGTCAACTCGGCCATAACGCCCCGACGCCTACCCACAAAGGACAGATTTCGATTGCTTGTTAAGCATTGATAACGGGATCCGTTGACTAGCAATACCGGCTTTAATATCTCGGCACCGCGAGCTGTCACAAGTCCCACTATAGATCAAACAAACTACACCTTCAGTCCACCACCAACCCACTCTCGAACATTGCGAACGCGAGTTAGCAAGTTTTCCAGGAAATCAAACCAGCGTTTAATACTATAGACCCACCTCCACCGCTTCTGTGATTTGTTACAGTTGGAAGCGAGGACCCCCGCGGAAACATGTCTAACTGAACGCCGTTCCTCATGCTCTGTCCTCTGTTGCAGGTGCTTCGAGCCAGCAAGTGCTCTCGTCCACTCTCATACTCCAGCGAGCGGTGTGCGGAGCGCATTGGCTATCTGGAAACGACGCTCGCCGTTAAAGAGTCTCCGTCGAGTCCATTCTTGCCGCGGCAGTGCTGTAGAGTTGTCGCACCAACTGGAGGCACAGCGTCTGATATGAGAGCGGATATCGGAAAGGAGATTTGAGGGCTCTCATCTCTGGCTTCGTGTGTTTTTCTTAGTAGAAAGTGTTGCCTCTTTCCGGACTTGTACAGCCTGGCACGAGTCTTAAGTACTTCACGTTACCTTTGGAGACATATGTGACTGTTTGTCATCATCCTGTGGATATTTTCGTCGCCTCCCGCAGGCAAACTATTAGTTTTGTGATATACTGTGCTAGGTGTTTCTGCTTGGATTAACGTTCAACACCTGTGAATCAAGGTAATTTTGATATCATTTCATCATATGAATATTCAGTAAACATTTCGTCTCCAGACTGACTTGAATGTGCGTTGAGTTGTCAGGTTGCATGTCAAATAGGCGAACATCGAACGAATCTGCTAACGATCCAAGACTTCGGTAAACGGTACGGGAGTTTAACGTTTCACGACGTTCAAGACACAGATTAAAGAATACCACCCTTGAATTATTACACATTTCCTTGACAGACATTCAGTCAGGAGCCTGCCATTAATTAACCAGTGAGAGAGTACGGTCACAAAGCCTTATGTTCAAGTAAACTTGGATATTTACAGCTTGGGCTTCGAGTGTGTTCTGTTGCAAACAATGTGAAGGGAAGCAAGTTTGCTTCGTGATAACATCGACGTCGATGTGGTGGAGTATTTCACGTTGCTGGATAATGGTCTTCGTTGTGGTCAGAAATAGCACTGTCAGTGGTCAAGATCAAGATTAAGCACTTGCAAAACCTTCATAAAACCTTCATAAAACGTTAAGAAGACTGTGTGTGTATAACGATTTCATAGGAAGGGCCAAGCGATGGACTTCACATGTAAGTATATTGTGTTTTTTTTAATTTTGTAGGCTCCGATGATAATATATTGAGACTAAATGGCCTGGACCTGAATTGTTAGTGTTATATGTGTTGTAAATGCAGTGGAATCCATTAATATTCGACTAGCTGCCTGATTGTCTTATTTGTCCCTCATCTCCACAATCTCACCCATCCCCGACTGAAGTGAACGCAGCCCCCCTCGCATGAATCTGGAACAAGAGACATAAAGCTGTTTTTTGTTTATTGAAATACTCATGCATATTGTGTAGTGGCCCCAACATAAACACACAAGCATGCATGCTTTCACAAACACAGACAGGCACATACAGAGAGAGAGAGACAGACAACACACATAACTCTCACACACACGTGCACGTGTTCACACACACAGGCAACACACAGAGACAGAAAGACACACGCAGACCGCACACACAGAGATAAGCCCGTATATTACCAATGAAGGTGACATTACATTGTCTCATCAAATGTACCATTCCTTCTGTGACTTATGAAGTCATAAAGCGGAATAAAGCTGGCGAATTGGTAAAATGTCATGCGCAGACTTCTGGATGTATATATAATATGTATAGAAAGAAATATACCTATAGGTATATATATGTATATATATGATATATCTATATCTATATCTCTAGGGGGCGGTGGGGTAGTCTAGTGGTTAAAGCGTTGGCTCGGTACGCCGAAGGTCCGGGTTCGATTCCCCACATGGGTACAATGTGTGAAGCCCATTTCTGGTGTCCCCCGCCGTGATATTGCTGAAATATTGCTAAAAGCGGCGAAAAACCAAACTCACTCACTCTATATCTCTATCTATATCTCTATTGAACGATCGATCGATAGATAGATAGATAGATAAACATACAGAAAAGTATATATATATATATATATATATATATATATATATAATATATATATAAAGAAAGTGATGAGAATACCGCGCGTACAGTAGTACATATATATAAGAAGAAGTTTCTGAAATAATCACACGACACGGATCTTCTCCAACATGTTTTCATATATATATATACTTTTCTGTATGTTTATTTATCTATCTATCTATCTATCTATCTATCTATCTATCTATCTATCTATCTATAGATAGAGAGAAATAGAGAGAGAGACAGAGAGAGACACAGGGAAAGAGAGAGAGAGAAAGAGTATATTCCATTAAATATGCAGGTGCAGATGAACATATGATTAAGATAAACAAGCTGACGTAGGTAAATTCAGATGTATAGACTTAGATGTAGGGTAACTTAGATATGTGGGTAAAGGTATTCATATCGAGGCAGATAGATATACAGACAAACATATACACGAAGGTAGATATATACTCATATATATATATAGATAGGATTAGATAGATAGACGTATACATATATACTAGTATATATATATATACAGGTAGAAAAACATATAGACGAAGCAGATATGGAGACAATTAGACATATGGACAAAGGTCGACATAAGAAGATACATATACACGTAGATCATGATATAAGTAGGTATATCTAGAGATGTTGACCGACAGATAAGTAGATGGATACATGCACGCAATTATGTTTGTAGACGTGCAGATAGACTGACGGACGGACGGACGGACAGCTGCATACACAGGTGGATGGAGTATGCGACAAGTAACGGATTGATAGACGGATAAATGATTTGTTGAAAAATTGAAAATTTGCAGAGAGCATCACGTAGACCTCAACCTGTTACTCGATTCACATTGCTTAGGTCTGACTCATGCTTAGTTGTGTTCTATCTGCGTGAAATACGGTCGAAAATATCACGATATATTTCATCCCTTGACATTACAAATTCCTATTATTGTGCCGCAATTCCCAGACATAACAGAGTCACGTGACCGCGCGACAGCAGCATCATCAACATTTAACGTCTGTCGCCACTTTCACAAACCATATTGTTGTTTCATTGTAGATTAACGTCAACGCCCCAACGTCAACGTCACCGCAGAAGGTTATTGCCTCGTTCTGGTCTCGTGACGTCGCAACCTTGCCCAGCTCAACCGGGTACTTGCGTACAGCATCGGGCGAAGCGAAAACCGGTCAAACTTGCAAGGGTGGCCACACTGTTTTCAGACTGACGTTTTTGTGGAATATTCTCTTTGGCAGTTTTTCATGTTTAGTCGGAGTTGAAGTTGCGTTTACACATTTAAAAACCAAATGAGTGTCCGCCGAGTGTGTTTTTCAGAGGAACAAGTTAAACTATTATGAAATAGATACAGAGATATTATTCATGTGGATGTACGATATTGGAGACAACGTGTGACTTCCCGGAGTTTTGGGTCACTGGAACTGTTCCACAGATCCCGTGAATTGAAACATAAGATGACTTCTGTTCGTGAATGAGGACGAAGGATTTCCCAGGACATCAATATACTGAGTATTAATACTGATTTGATACTGTGAGTACTGACGGAAAACATCCCTCTGAAGGAGATTAATAACTATTTCGGCGTGTCTGACTTACCCACATTTCCGCGGGACCAAATATTGACCACAGGTTTGTTGAACTAATTTCTCAGCCAGAGCTTAGGATCTGGTAACGGCGAAGTGAGCCGCTTGTAGAATTAGCCCTCTGTTCGCCTTTAGTCGACGCCATCATGATATGATAAAAGTGATGATTGACAATATATCGGCAGATTCCAAGATGGCGACAACTGACATGTCTACCACGTTGAATTCAACATGGCATTCAACACCCCCACCAATGATGAAGAAATACCTATTTCTACCAATGATGTTCCCGGGGCAATACTCGGTTCCGATAAATGGCTACATCTCGCCGATTCTCGTATTCTTGACAATAATTAACAACACCTTAGTGTGCGTTGTCCTCTTGAAGCGACATATGCGATCTCCCACCAACGTGCTTCTTGCAGCAATGGCGATCTCTGACATGTTGACAGGTGTGTTTCCAGTTCCAATCTTTATCTACTTTTTTGGGACAGAACGTTTTCGAGAAATTGTACCGTACGAATGGTGCTTCGCATATAAATACTTATCGGAATATATACCCATCATTTTCCACACTGCATCAATCTGGCTCACGATGGCTCTTGCCATACAAAGGTATATCTACGTATGTCATTCGTTCCGAGCAAGAACGTGGTGTACGATACCAAACGTGATCCGAGGGACAGTTGTTATATATTTCATCGCCATACTTAGTCAGCTTTGTAGGTTCTTCGAAGAGGAGATAACTCCGATTGCGCTTCCTTCCGAACTCCACCCAAACCAGACTGTGATTGGCTGCGAATTTGGCCACCGGAAGTGGGTTGCCGGGAAATTAGATATATATTATAACATCTATTTTGGATTTCGGGTGATTTTCATCCATTTAGTTCCGTGTATTTCCCTCGTCGTTATGAACGCGTTGTTGATTTACGCCATGCGTTGTGCGCAACGTCGGCGTATGCAATTATTACGCCAGAACAAAAAAAGCGAGTCAAAAAAGTTGAAAGATAGTAATTGCACGACGTTGATGCTTGTAGCTGTCGTTGGGCTGTTCCTTCTTGTGGAATTCCCCCTCGGTATACTTATGATTATCATGATCGTGGAAAATACGTTCCACTTTTCAATCATCGAGAGGGAGACGATGAACATCCTGTCCCTCATGTCCAACTTCTTCATCCTCCTTAGTTATCCCCTGAACTTCTTTATTTACTGCGGAATGAGCAAGCAGTTCAGGGAGACATTTAAACGCCTGTTCACTGGAGGCCAAGTTCAGCTGGACCGAGACTACTCCCAGTACATGACCTTGCCGACGGAAAATGGTAAAACGGCCGTTACTGGTGACGAAACCGCACTTTAATTGAAAGTGGCCTAATTTACGGTTATTACTGAAAGAAATTGTCGATGTAGTTCCGGAGTGAATGGAAGGCTGCAGGCCGACGCCCCTGATTGGCGTGACGTTCACAAAGACGACGACGTGTGTTTTCACGGAATAATCGCCAGAACATCAAAGGGCTTTCTGTTTGTTATGGAAATATTTTTTTTTGAAACTGGAATGACCTGTGTCCCCCTTGCCAACTGACCAGGAACACAATGGACCATGTTTTACAGAGGGATACCGCCGTACCTGCTTGTTTTTTCCTAACGCTACGAGTGTTGACAGAGGCATTGGTATGACTGCACTAATATGGACAAATCTAAGTTTTGTACGCTTTTTCTTTGCACATCACCCCGTGACATGCTTCAAAGGTGACATATATATTGTAGCGCGTGTTTGATTCTTTTTCCTGCTCTGTTGCCATGACTACAAATTTCATAACATCACCCGGAAACATATTCATTGTGCCAATCAGAAGACATACATGAACCTTAGCTTCTGTAGTCGTCAAGTGTAGACTAGTTAAGCAGTGGAAAATAGCAGGCTGATTTATCTCCCTTTGGTACAGCCTTGACCCCTCTGTACCTGAAAGCGAGGCCAGTATGGCGCCTATTTATCAGCCTGATATTAAACTGTTTTGATAGTCTCCTCGTTGTATATTCTCATGAAATCACCACACAGTAACCACAGACTTATCTTTCATGATCAGTATTATTTGATAGTTATGAAAGTGTTTCATATGAAAGCATATTATATATCTACAGACAGGTGTCTTTCTGGCCAGAGTGTATACACATATATTAAATATATTATATATCTATATCTATACATATGTGTGCCCGTCTACTTTTCCTGCTGCATGTCGTCCTGCGAATAAACTATTTAAACGTTGTATTTATTATTTTAAATGCTCCATCAATCAGTTTGGCTCAGGGCGGTGTGGTAGCCTAGTGGATAAAGCGTTCGTTCGACACGCCGGAGACCCGGGTTCGATTCCCCGCATGGGTACAATGTGTGAAGCCCATTTCTGGTGTCTCCCGCCGTGATATTGCTGGAATATTGCTAAAAGCGGCGTAAAACTATACTCACTCACTCACTTGGGCTCATGAAAAGCCATGTGACTTCCAACTGTAAACTGACGCCAATGCCAGATTCCAAGAGTGGAATTCCACAGTGTCCAAGACTCAGGTGCCTAGGGTTCCAGGAATATTTGCAGATATTGCTAGCTTTAGATTTAGATTCGTTTCGATTGTAAAGTATAGATTTTCCCGCGTTTTGCATTTATTATTAATTTATAATAAGATTTTGGAATGTATTATGTTTCCAGATAATGAAAATATTGAAAATTTCAAGTTGTGCGGCGTTGCCTATTTAAGCGGTAGGATGTTTCTAATTTAGTGATGGCGTCCATCGTTGAAATTAATTTTATAATATGAGTGGTATTTCTACGTTAACATCGTTAACAGACAGCTGTTGTTCTGAACTAATATTTTAGACATCCAATGATATGGATTTGTTGTCACATGACTGTGTACAGTTGTCAGAAGCTTGAGTTGTTATACTGACGGCAGAAATTAAGGGAACAGAAGAATATTATGGCTGAAAGTGTTCATCCCCATGAACAAATCTCATGACACCAACATGAGAAAGATATTTTTTAAAAGCGTATGACCCATTATTCAATGATATGTCACAACCCTGCAAGGTCGATGTGCAATTTCAATACGCCTCGTGTGGCGTTGAAGAGTTCCTGATAATATGTATTGCTAAATTTTATAGTGAAAATTCGGATTGTCATGACAATAAAGCTTAGGTATCTGCACCGATACAATTTTAATAGAGCAAAGCAAATAGAATGCCTGGACTTGCTTCATTCAATGCTTTAGCATTACAGTAAGGGATGGGTAGAATAGAATAGATATGACCTATGGGGTGTAAAACAGACAGGTTTGTGATGTAAAGCAAATTTCCATATGTTCAATTGTCAAAGACTATCAGTATATTAATCCAGTGAGCAAGACGGCTCAGTCGCCTGTGGCTGCAATTCGATGAGAGTTGTCTCCCTTGTCGGTTCGAATCTTAGATTCGGTCTGAATATGTTTCTAGTTTGTTTTTTTAAGCCATATACATGTTTAACCCAATTCGAAAAAACCATCTACGTACTTCATCACACAGAAAGTAACTATAGCATTGTAAATTTAATTCGGTTTGAAGCCCAACTCACTAACTCACTACTATTAATTAACCAAACAAAACCATGATATTTTTTCTTCATATCTTTTGCAATGTTCAAATAAAAACATAAAACAAATTATTCACATAAAAATTAAATAAAACAATCGATCATCAAACTTAAAATTGCCGACGGATCAAAGAATCCTTACAACGAACATGAAATATAATACCCTCAGCGAAAGTTGTGAAACTGCATGTTTTTTTTGTCAAAGAATATTATTTTACATTTTCCGGTAGATGGAAAATGTCATGTGTGAAATTTTGTCTTTGAGGTAAAACAGTAGCAATGACAAAACAGCTTCTCGGTTTTCATTGTAATGATGTCTTTCACGCAGGATATGGAAACACTCCGTTACTCGTTTATGCTTTTTATGCTTTTATGCTTTGAGAGTAGGAAATTTATTCTCGTGTATACACTTAGCACCAAATAGATGTTTGGTATTCGATATTCTGCAGATATGTCTGCGGAAGCCCAAATACATTTAACATTGTGAAGTATTTTATCCAGAACGTGAAACCTGTACTGTCGATCTGATCCAGAACCCAATTGGAAGACAAGCATAGGTACTGTCGATCTGATCCAGAACCCAGTTGGAAGACAAGCATAGGTACTGTCGATCTGATCCAGAACCCAGTTGGAAGATAAGCATAGGTACTGTCGATCTGATCCAGAACCCAGTTGGAAGATAAGCATAGGTACTGTCGATCTGATCCAGAACCCAGTTGGAAGACAAGCATAGGTACTGTCGATCTGATCCAGAACCCAGTTGGAAGATAAGCATAGGTACTGTCGATCTGATCCAGAACCCAGTTGGAAGATAAGCATAGGTACTGTCGATCTGATTCAGAACCCAGTTGGAAGATAAGCATAGGTACTGTCGATCTGATCCAGAACCCAGTTGGAAGATAAGCATAGGTACTGTCGATCTGATCCAGAACCCAGTTGGAAGATAAGCATAGGTACTGTCGATCTGATCCAGAACCCAGTTGGAAGACAAGCATAGGTACTGTCGATCTGATCCAGAACCCAGTTGGAAGATAAGCATAGGTACTGTCGATCTGATCCAGAACCCAGTTGGAAGACAAGCATAGGTACTGTCGATCTGATCCAGAACCCAGTTGGAAGATAAGCATAGGTACTGTCGATCTGATCCAGAACCCAGTTGGAAGACAAGCATAGGTACTGTCGATCTGATCCAGAACCCAGTTGGAAGATAAGCATAGGTACTGTCGATCTGATCCAGAACCCAGTTGGAAGATAAGCATAGGTACTGGCGATCTGATCCAGAACCCAGTTGGAAGACAAGCATAGGTACTGTCGATCTGATCCAGAACCCAGTTGGAAGATAAGCATAGGTACTGTCGATCTGATCCAGAACCCAGTTGGAAGACAAGCATAGGTACTGTCGATCTGATCCAGAACCCAGTTGGAAGACAAGCATAGGTACTGTCGATCTGATCCAGAACCCAGTTGGAAGATAAGCATAGGTACTGTCGATCTGATCCAGAACCCAGTTGGAAGACAAGCATAGGTACTGTCGATCTGATCCAGAACCCAGTTGGAAGATAAGCATAGGTACTGTCGATCTGATCCAGAACCCAGTTGGAAGACAAGCATAGGTACTGTCGATCTGATCCAGAACCCAGTTGGAAGACAAGCATAGGTACTGTCGATCTGATCCAGAACCCAGTTGGAAGACAAGCATAGGTACTGTCGATCTGATCCAGAACCAAGTTGGAAGATAAGCATAGGTACTGTCGATCTGATCCAGAACCCAGTTGGAAGACAAGCATAGGCACTGTCGATCTGATCCAGAACCCAGTTGGAAGATAAGCATAGGTACTGTCGATCTGATCCAGAACCCAGTTGGAAGACAAGCATAAGTACTGGCGATCCTGTATAGAAAATGAAATCGAGATCTCTGTTGAAAAACGAATTCAAAGGGGGGGTGGGTTCCCCATACGGATACAATAGTGCTGTCCGAATCAACAAATTTTGAAAAAATGTCCAAGTTAAGAAAAAGTCTTAATCCAAAAGATGCCCCCCAAAAATGATAGAATTCAGGAGCTGAGGCAATCTTGACTGGCATAAATATTCTAGACTTATAATTGGATGTGTAGTCCCTATAGCTAATTAATTAGGATCCTCTTATTAATTTGATCACTTTTTAATTGGAACCTCTTATTAATTTAATCTCTGGAGTCTCTGTGAGACTGGGTGTATTACTCACCGGAATCGAAACTCTGTTTTAATGCCACTAATCCTAGCAGTTGATTAATGTTATATTTTATTTCTTTCCCCGTGTGTCGTATTATGTTTCATCATGTAAACACGGCAGTATTTGCCCTTTGTAACTGGCAACACGCGAAGACACGCCGTAACAGAACGCTGTGAGTGTTTTGTTCTTTTATTGGCTTTAAAGGGTGAGCCTCGTAAGGTACAGCTTGACAAAATACTTATCAGAAAAATGCGTGTAGTTTGATGCCTCCGTTTAATTCCCGGTTTCAGGTGAAAAGGGTCAATCGGGTAATTTTCATTGAAAATCGTTTCATTCTATTCCATGTAAGAGGCTTTGAAAATAAAGGTCAGTGCTTTTGCAAATGAAGAATCACCGACCAACAGGCTGATAGAAACGAGCTGTGATTTGCATAAGCTTAAATCGATGCGAATGACGAAGTAATTATCCCCTTATGCGCCTTATAACGGGGCGTGGTCTGTTTCAGTATATCGCGTCCGGGAGACGTAAGTCGACGCGATACATTTCGGAACTGTCAACGAGTAGGCTCTGACGAATTGCTTTCGCGATTCTATTACCCGATGACATTTAGAAACTCGTGGTGCTTATAGAGCTGTGTGCGCGATGTTTCAATCTTGTGTGGAAGAATCCGATCTCTTAATCTGTCAAAAAGGTTGGAGATATGTGTTCTCAATTGCACAATTAACAAACCGTTATCAGGAATGAAAACCAAGCGATCTTGCGTCACGGCTATAATTAGAACTGAACTGACGAAGTGAAATAGCCATGGCTGAAGATCTTCCCGTGAAACCTGACCGAGGAATCGTTACATTTAGGACGAAGAAACCGGAAAACAAGACATTTGCTAATGGTAAATTCTGATGCAAGATAGCTCTTCCCGTAAAGAATTTCACAAATCCGGTTCACCATTTACGAAAAGAAACTAATCCCTGTCATTTTAGTTTTTATGGTTTGAAATATTTGACAGATCCATTGGTGTATGGTGTGACGGCGAAACGAGTTCACGTGAGCGATATGAACAGTTCATGGCGAAATACTTTAGATTAAAATATTTTTGGATTAAGGAGAAGCCATTTCGACTTTCGTGGATGGAGTGTAAGGGATATGGAAAAGACAACCAATCCCCAAACTGTTGCATATTTGTCACATTGTGGGTAATCATTATGAATGTTTGTTTCGACGTGTAGCTAAAAAACTTTTGGTCGTATTTGATATTTATAAAATCGATTGAGACCCTACTTATGCTGAAACATGTAAAACAAAATGAAGATCCTTTATATAATGCTGATCTGAAACCAAATCACACACACACAATGTTTTCTAGTTTTCTCATGTTTGAAATTATCTAAAGTTAGGGAAAATGTTTTCCAGAATTCAGAATCAAAATTTGATTTAATT